GACTCCAGGCCAATGTGGTCTGCAGCTTTTTGGAAAACCACCAGAGCTTCTGCCCACTGCCAACAGGAGAAAAGGAGTGTTTTATTTAGCAGTAACAGTAGGACTATTAGTACTTTCTTTGGTGTGAGGTATATACAACCCTGTGAGAGAGCTTGGGCTGAGATAAGGATTGGCCCAAAGTCAGCCAATGAGCTTCTGGGGCTGAGGGGGGACTAGAACCCTGGTCTTCCCACTCTAAGGACTGGCCCAAAGTCAGCCAATGAGCTTCTGGGGCTGAGGGGGGACTAGAACCCTGGTCTTCCCACTCTAAGGACTGGCCCAAAGTCAGCCAATGAGCTTCTGGGGCTGAGGGGGGACTAGAACCCTGGTCTTCCCACTCCTAGTCCAGCCCTTCCCACTATACCTGATTGGCTCTTGGGCTGAGAGGGAGGGACTGGCCCAAAGTTCCTCAAGGAGCTTTGGTGGCTAAGGGGGGACCTGGACCCAGGTCTCCCTGCTCCTTGTCTAACCACTATACCACACTGTCCCAAAACCCCAAGTAGGGACCCAAGAGATGTTGAGGGGATCCATTCCCTGGGCTCTCAGAGAAGATCTCCTCTTCCAAGCCAGCTAGGGCAGCAGCTTTGCAACTTGTAGCAAGACAGAGGATTTCAAGAAAGGAGAAAAGAGGAAAAAACAGTCCTCTGCAAATGCTCAAGGGGAAACAGGAAAAGAAGCAAGGCCAGAGGCTTTGAGCAACCGTATGACCCAGAGCAGCATTGCCAGAATGCTCTGCACTGTATAGAGTGAGCTGCTGAAAAACTACAATATGTCTCAAGTATCTTTGCAGGGAAATAGGAAGATACAGTAATTCTGACTCTGAAGTCATCCAGTTTGCCTACAGCTTAAACTACAACATCACGCAACCCAGCCCAGCCCCACCACTTCGAGCAGCAGGAGGGGAAAGTCCCTTTTGTGCCCGAGAACCAGGAAGACACTGCCTGGCAAAGTAAAGAGCTGGGATATGGGTGGCGAACCTGTAGCCACCTGGATTTTGTAGAACTACAACTCCCAGCATCCCCAATTACTGACCACGTTGGCTGCATTGTTGGTTGTCGTCGTTTACCAATACCTAGGTTCCTCTATCCCTGGGCTAGATGGAGAAGTCTGACTTGGCAGAAGTCAGATGTTTATGTTTGGGACTGATTATGCGCCTTCAAGTCATTTTCGACTCCTAGTAACCGCACAGATATATTTTCTCCATGTCGATCTATCCCTAACCTGTTCTTTCAAGTCTCCCAATGGTACCCTTTGCCACATAACCGAGTCCATCCCAATTGTTGCTGGGTGTCCTCTCCTTTGCTTTCCTTCCACTTTTCCCAGCATTATGGACTTTTCCAGAGAGCTGGGTCCTTGCAAATTTCATTCAATTTCTGTTTTACCCTACATAAATCAGCCCATCCCATGTCAACTGCATGGACCATAGATGGCAGGTGGCTCAAACAAGTGAGTCCAACTATACCGGAGAGCCAGAATGCACAAAAGCTTACCAGCTTGGCTGCCTTGTTGTACACATGCTTATATGCTGCATCCAATGGGATTTCTTCTATCCTGAAAGTGACTCCAGAAAAGCTCAGTTGCCGGGCAATGTACATCCCGTTCACTTTCATATCCATAGCGACAATTTCCATAGCCCCAACGCCTCTGTGGAGGAGGACCAGAGATACAGTTGACCTTTGGAACTGCAGTTTTTTTCCATCACCACAACAAGACATTCATTTCATTTCATTTCATTTCATTTCATTTCATTTCATTTCATTTCATTTCATTTCCAAGTATTTATAAGTCTTTTTTTTCTATAAGAAGTTAATCAAACTGGCATAAACAG